GGTCTGGAGTATATAGAGGGTGTATACACAGGGTCTGGAGTATATAGAGGCCAGTGAAAACTAGAGCCGGGGAGCTCCAGCTATATGAGCATGAAGCCAGCAGGGTAAGGCTTTTTGGTGCATCTGGTTTAGGGAGGAGTGCCACAACCCTGGAACCCCTCACCTATTCTCTGTAAGGAAACCCAATAAATTCAAGTTTCCTTAGAGTGAGCTTTGGCAGGATTGTGCCTCCATTTGCCTTTGAGACCTTGGGAGAAGAATCTGCCCTTGGGAAGGAATGTTTAACAATATAGAGACACCATTATGTATGTATGAATATGAATATAAATATGAATAGACTACTCAATCTGTGAATTCTTCCCCAGTCATGGGATGACTGTTCCCATTTTTTGTTGTTGTTCTTTGTTTTATTTATATTTTTAATTTTTTTTATGTATGAGTATATGTTTGTGCACTTGTGTTAGGGTCCAGCCTCGATGGCATTTGCACATTCCAGGGTAGGGAGCATGTGTGTTAGAAACGCCAGGCAGAAAGAACAAGATACAAAAGAAATATAAAGATATAGGATAGAATTGGGAGGGCAGTTCAGTGAATACTGAATTTACCTGTGTTTATTTTTTATATTTTATATACCTCATTCCAAAAGGGGGAGAGAAGAGGGCAAAAGACTGTTTTAACATGATACAAAGAACAAACAGGGCAGTTACCCCTTCAATACCTGAAGCATCAAGCGGCTATTCCCTGAGTTAACTATTCTGTTGTTTAGGCAGGACATGCAGTGATCACACCTTAGAGCTGGACTGGCAGGGGCAGAAGTGAGGGAATCCTATGAATCTATCATTCTTTAATACTTTTGATATTTAAATCACCAAATATATGACCTTTTTGAAAACTAAATAACATTTTAAGAAATGGGGAAAAGCATTCACAAGAGATGCACCATTCACAGTCTTTCTCAATGGTCTGGTCCAGACCTCTCCCTCCCATGCCTCCTCTTTTCCCAGCAGAAAGGGGAGGTGGACAGGATTTCCTACTCCTTACAGCTATCTCTAAGCTGTCAGGAAATAAGTTTCCTCCTTTCTGCCTTATCTTTTGGACTCTGTCTGACCTCCTGTGACCTCCAACGACACTGCACCTTCCTATCTGCTCCCGGCCTCTTCCATGCTTCAGGGTTCCTTCTTCATGCAGACCGTCCACCAGCCTCCATCACCCTACGTCTTTCTCCTTTCCTTTCATGATGCCTCTGGCCACCACCTTTAACCACCAGAGAAGCAGCCTCCTCATCAGAAGGCCCCTTGCGAAAAGCCTCCACTTCTGAAACGGGGGCAGGCTTCGACCTTTGCGAGCATGTCACCCAGCACTCTGAAGTTGTTCAAGTCCATTCTGCAGATTTGGCCCCCAGAGTGAGTGTTCTTAGGGCTTCAGTGTCCTCTGTCTGTGGAGCCACCAAAACTATCCTCAGTGCCAGCTCACCTCACTGTGGCCTCACCCACGCCACTCCCCTGCTTTGACCTCTCTAGTGGAGGCTACACCATGTACCCGTCTGGATGGGTTTCTATTCTCTGATTTCAACCCATGAACTTTTGCAGCTTATCAAATGCTTACTCTTCTTTTTCCAAAGCATTATCTAAATAGTTACCTCATTCCCATTTCCCCCTTTAATTCTACTGAAGTAGTTACCCAACACTGACCTTGACTCTGTGCTTTAGATCTGAAGTTTTCCCCAGATGTTTTGTGCTTAGGATAAAGGCTTGGTCCTCAGGGTAGCCATGTTCAGGAGTGGGGCTTTTGGAAGGTATCAGATCGTGAAGACTCTTGATGGGTTCATACTTAGATGGAATTACCAGGAGGTGGTGGGACACTCGGATGGACAAACTGGGTCAGAGGGCACTTTCCCAGGAAGAGCTTATCTTGTCCCTAGTCCCCTCTTTCTGTTTCCTGTCTTCCATGACATAGGGAGCTTTGCTCCACTGTGTTCATTCCAGCGCTGTGTTCTGCCTCACCATGGCGTAGAGATGATGGAAGCCAGTGACCGTGCACCAAAGCTGCTGACACGAGACAATAGAACCTTTGTCTATTTAAGTTGATCAGTTCAGGTCACAGCAATGAAAAACTAAGACATCTCGCCAGCGCAGCCTTGTCTGCAGAACTGTCCATCTCACCCGGATCTCTGCTCCTGACTCACTATGTGTCTGACCTTTGTGCATTTCCTAGTGACCCTTTCTTATCACATCTACTGCTCTTTCATCAGAGCTCCTTTCATAACTCGTCAGACACCACATACTTACTTCATCTAGCTCTTCCTTGTTGCCTTTTCCAAGTCCCGCTACTCACTTCTGTGCTCTCCCTCTCTCTGTGGGTCCCCCTCTTTTAGCTTCTCTTTCACTCACCACGTGTGAGTGTCCCCGAAAACGACAGTATGTGCACGCTCCTCTTTGGAAGGCTTCTTTTTTTCACCTTAGAGAACAATTTACACATTAGTAATTGAAGCGCAAGATAGATAGATGCTACACACATGCACACACGCACACACACACACACACACACACACACACACACACACACCACTTCATTCCATGGTTTGATAGGTCAATGGAAATGAGCACACCGTGCCCAGGAAGTGTCTCAGATTAGACAGTTTCTGGCAGAATCTGTATCTGGATGGGAGCAGGGAAGGACAATGGATCCAAAGCCTGTCTCTGTGGTTCCACTGGGTCTTGGGGACCCCATAGTATGTTTCCCATGACTCCACTTCAGCATTATTGCCTACATATTACCAGCAAATGGTCTATGGTTGACACTCAACATAAGTGGAATAGCGTTTACAAAAGGAAAATTGGAAGTGCCCTCTTAAGAAATGAGTGGCAGGACTTTTTACTCAACTCTCTAGTGCTACACTGTCGGACACCAGTGACTTCCTGCTGCGGGGGGGGGGGGCACAGTGACCTTTTGCCTGATGTAGTCATATAATGGAAACTGACTTAGAGGTGGAAGAACTCCTCAGAAGGCAAGTTCACGAGTCATCCAAGAGATAGTGTTGGGCATGCTCCAAGCTTCCCCGGGGCGGTCATACTTACATTTCTTCCATCTAATCGTTCAGTAATCATTGTCTGGGGGTGTTTAAAGAAACCTTTATCAGGCGCTGTTCTAAATGCTGGTGATGTAGATACCAATAAAAGTTGCCCTCTTCCTCCCAAAAGATCACACTCTGGTACCCACAGAACTACCTGTTAAATCAAGAGTAATCTAGCGTTAGACCATCTTAAGAGAAATAAGTACAAAGCATTATTGTTTTGGATGTAGTCTTTGATGTTTACAACCTGTTTCACATCTATTACTATGTACAGTACTTCACATGTACAGTACTTGAGAGGAGGAAGCAGGAGAATTGCTTTGACTTTGAGATCAGCCTGGTCTACATGGTGAGTTCTAAGCTAGCCTAGGCTACAGAGCAAGACCCTATCTCATTCCATCCCAGTGAAGTAGGCAGAGAGTTGTGTGGAACCAACATTAGAGGAGACGACATCGAGGCACGAAGAAGTCACATGCACAACTGTGTGTCTAGACTATGGCTGAGAGCGGGGCAAGAACCCAGGGAGTCAGATGGAATTCACTTTTCTCTACCCAGTTCTGCTTAGGGAAAGTACTAAGTTGGCTACCTTCCTTCTCTGTTTCCTTCACCAGTGAGAATCTCTCCTCAGGGAGTTCCCGGCCAGGAGATACAAATGAACCTAAAACTGGGAAACATGCCCGGGCCACCTGTTGTAAAGCCCCCACCAGATAATGCTCCACTCTATTGAGAGCACTTTGAGGTGCAATGAAACCAGACCGAGTCTTAGTCCCTTGCATCTACCATGCCACAGAAGGAAAATTTCCAGGCTTCCCTTCTTTCCCCAAGCCTCTGCCTGTCCCAGGAAGACAGAAGCAGGAAGCTTACTTTGTTTGCCAGCAGCTGTCCTCCATGCTGCCAACAGGACTATGAGCTTCCTATGTGCACAATGCATTGCTGAGGAAGTAAGGAAAAGATGAAGACAGGTTATCTCTGAGAGAGAGGAAGCTTCATCCTCGGTCTGTGGTCTCCACCTCCGTACACTTGTGCTTCTCAAGACACCTAGCTCAGTATATTGGTGTAAACTCCATGACTGTTGTATAGGGCTGAGTAAATGGGAGAGGAAACGTGAGAAGAAAGAAAGAGGAGAGCATATCAAGGTTCATAAATGCTTCCGTTTCTAAAGGTGGAAGAGCCAGGATTTCACTAGTCTGCATCTTTATCTCTCAGCATCCAGATGAGCATGCCTAACCCACTAGGTCTATGAGAAACGATGCCTAGGCTCCTCATGAAAACACCACATTCCGGGAAATTACAGAAGAAGCAACAGCTCCAGCAGCGTCTGGCCCCACATTCTCCTGGAAAGGCTGGACACAGCCCTGTGTTATTTTTAGGCTCTCTGGCTCAGGAAGCGCCATTGGAGGGAAACACTTTACCTTCCCCCACCCACTAGCCCCAGCTCCCAGTGCTGAGCTGTGGTCAGTAGAGAGCATTCAGTTTGTGTGTCTTAAGAAATATGGGACAAGACGAAGGGTGGGGTACTGCCGGTGTGACAGTGGAGGTGCGTCAGTGGGCTCTATGTCAGGTGGCAATGGCCAGCCTGGGAATCACTTACAGTCACAGAGGTTACTTTCTCTCCCGGCCACTGTCCACTGATGGGAATGAAGCAGCTGACAGCCAAGCCAAACAGGACGCTAGAGAAAGACGTATTGGGTAATTTGCACATGAGTTTTTTCATTGTTGAAAAACTGCCTGGAAAGTCATACTTGGAAGAAGAATTTGTTTATTGGCTACTTTTCTTTCTTTCTTTCTTCCTTTCTTTCTTTCTTCCTTCCTTCCTTCCTTCCTTCTTTCCTTTCTTTTTTTTTATCTCTTAAAGACATTTCTCTCCTGATCCCTCGGGTAGCATGCTTGCTTAGGTTGCCATATTCTTGCCATAATGATCCGCTGTCTGCCCACTAGGAAGGAATTGGCTTTGGAAGGATGGGGACAAGAGTCATGACTTATTTGTGGAAATATGTCCAAGAGAAAGTGTCACCTCAACTGGCTATACAAACTGGGCTGTAGCTGGCAGCCCCAAGGCAATCTGTCAATAATAGTTGCTAGTACTGGAAAATGCAAACTGAGATAACCTCTCATCTGAAATATGGGGTCCATGCTGCCCATAGATTCTCCCCACATGCAATTCAGCAGGCTATGCCTACATTTCAGGTCTTGGAAAAGAAAAAGAGAAGTCCTGGTTTACACAAGCAGCCAGTTTCTGTGATGTAAATATTCTGTTGATGGTAAACTTCCAGCAACTATGGGGAGCTGCTCCAAACTTTGCTGAACATACACCAGCTCATACTAGAATCCCACAATATCGTTGACCGGGGAACAACCAAAACTCTTACTTGCTATTTCCAGGCTTACCAGACACGTGCCCTTGGCGAGTCCCACTGTTCTCTTGCACAGCTGTCTCTGCAGCCCAGGTGACGTGGCAAATGATACTGGCATCTCTGTCAGACCTACAACATCTCTTCTTGGAGACCTGCCGCCTCCATGATGCTCCGTCATCATGCCATATTTGGACCAATGGACTCTGTACCCTAGACCTCAGCTGACTAAATCAGAGCTGATACAGATGCCAGGGGAAGTTGAGGCATTGTCTGGACAGTGGCTGTCATACCTCTCCCTTGATTATTTGAGCAGAGCAACCCAGAAGCTAGATTTGGGAGGGCGGAAGAGAAAGAAAAGAAAGAGGGGAGAGGGAGGAAGGACAGAAAGAGAGGAGAGAGAGAACTTTCTTACCCACGCTGCCAGCAAGTCCATCGAGTCACAGTTGAGAGTGAGTGGCATCCAGCGGCTGCTTATACATGCTTGCAGGTTCGGGCCAGTCTGAGTGGGACTGTGGGAATGGCAGCCAGCAAACTGAAAGCCAGGCAGAAACAATCCTTCAGGCCTCTTGGAGCCCTGCCCTTACACAGTGGTTCCCTCTGTGCCTCAGACCAGACCTCAGACCACCTGGACACTTAGCAGGGCCAGCCTAGACCCTACCATAGGCCTGCTCAGTCAGTGGCCCTGGGATGGGCCTAGCAAATCCCCGTGACTGTGCCCATCTCCTTCACTTTGACAAAGAATGTCTATATTACTATTCTGAGAAAGTTACATTTTATACACGAGAGGCATGCTCTGGCTGATGCAGGGCTATTTTCTGGCTAGCTTATTATATGAAGGCCAAAAGATTACTTTAATTAGCTAAGTGTTTAATTTTTAAAAATAAAATCTAGGAGCTGGAGAGTTGGCTCAAGTGCAGTCAGTGCGAGCATGGAGACCTGAGTGTGGACCCCCGGCATCCATGTGAAGTCAGACATAGCTGTTTAAATCTGCTGGGAGGCAGAGCAGGCGCATCCTGCCACATCTGCAAGCCCCAGGTTCAAGGAAAACCTTTCTCAAAACTAAGATGGGGAACAAGCAAGGAAGATACATGGTGTCAGCCTGTGGCCTCCATGTGCTTGCTCACACACACACACACATGCACCCACACAAACATGTACAAGACACACGAACATAAAGATATGATATTATCTTGAATTAACTTGAATTAAATGATAGGTTCCTTTATTAAAAAATTAGAGTAGCATTCCAAAGGCTAGCCTAAAGGAAGAGAAGGAGGGCTGCGAAGACTCAAACGCTGCCAGCAGGAGCATTTCAGAACCCCAAAGCCAAAGATAACTCAGAACAGATGGCCCCGGGGCTGCATGGTTTGGAGCGGACAGGATTTCACAAATGTGCCACCAAGCACTGAAATGACTCATGACTTCTGGCTCTAGGAAACAGTTCGGTATCCACTGGAGGATGATTTGCATAAGTACAGTAAAAAGTGAAACGGGAAACTGACCTCACTTTATCCTGACGTCTGTCAGAGCACACTCTTCGCTGTTGATCTTGAGTCATTTGGTAAAGTAGGAATTTTCACTTTAAAATGCTTTCAAGGGGTGTTTTTTTTTTTCTTTCTTTTTTGAAACTTCTGTTAGTCTAATTCAAACAGCACAAACTAGAGGCTGGATTTAAGAGGAGGGGAAGGCAAGGAAGGCAGAACTGAGCGAGAAAAGGGTGCACTATGCCTCTAGAGAGCAAACTGCAGGCGGGATAAAGGGGTTGCCTGGAACGGCTGTAGTGCCTTGCAGCACCTGGGATGGCCGTCTTCAGCAGTTCCTGTACCAGCCACAGTCAGTCCCTGTGCTGATGGTGGAGGGAAGGCAATGGAGAAGGAGTGGGGTTGAAATGAACAACACCCTTTGCCCCGTGTCAACAGCAGAGAGATAAAGGGTGGGGACATTTCACAGAGGCGTGCCTTTCTCAGTGATTCACACTGAGACCTCGGGCCACCAAATGTGTGGCGGTTATTCCCACTCCCAGCAATACTTCAGTTCTCTGCAGACAGCACCTGGTGTCAGTTCACATCCTAACTCACAGTGACACAGAGGCGGTACTCACTCCCACAAGACAGTCTCCCGCAGTCAAACGTCCCAGGTTGTGCCTGTGTTGTCACTGGCTAGAAGTTGAGGACCGGTTCTCAGAGTCATTCACAGAACCTCAGGAACTCCAGCTTTCCTGGTTCGCTCTAGTTTGTTAGAAAAGAAAGGGGCCGAGGCTGGTGGCATAACTGGTGGCCCTTAATCCCCGTACTTGGAAGACAGAGGCAGGTGGATCTCTGTAAGAGTGAAGCCAACCTGGTCTACATAGTGAGTTCCAAGCCAGCTGGGACTACATAGTGAGACTGGGTCTCAAAAACAAAACAAACAAACAAAACAAAACAACCAGGATGAAGTAGAACAGTTGAAAGCTGTTGAGAAACAGAAAACCAGCCTGAAGTCTGGAAGGATCGTGAGCAGGGGTCTCCTGTCCTTAGAGCAAACCCGTGCCTCTGTTCTCATTTCTGGATGTGTTCACCAACCCAGGAACTCTCTGAACCCTGTCCTGTTGACAGGATATGGTGCTTCATTATGTATGCATGACTGATTGAAGTAGTGGCCATTGGAGATTAAGTCAACCACAGAGGTTAGGCTGGAATTCCAGTCCTCTAATCACAGGGTGATTGGCTTCACTGGCAGGTAGCCTCCTTTCCAGGCAACCCAATAGCCCCTATTCATTAACATATACAAAACTATATTTTTCTGAGACCTCCCATCCCATATTTGAGGAGTTCTGTCAGGAAATAGAGAAAAGACCAGATATATATTTCTTATTATAAACTGTCACATCCAGTGACCAAATATATATTAATAAATTGGAAAATCAAAAATTGGGGAATGCCCCTACTTGAAATGAGCCACTATGTTCACCTCTGAAGAATGGGGGCTATCATTTCCAGCCTTCACATGGACGGATCCTGGGCTTCAATCCCAGTTACCTGGTAACTATGTTTATTTACTAAACATAGTGTTCTGATGTCCTCATATGCAAAATGGAGACAACGGAATATTGTTTTTATTATTTGATATCATCCTGTCGTTTTAAAAAGTGTATTTGGTTTCTGCCATTGGTCCTGGCTCAGGGCTCCTGAACTACACAGCAGAAGTCATTAGATGTGCGCTCCCTTCCGCCATCTGCTTCTCTTCCCCAGGTTCCTGTCGTGGAGATGCCGGCCTTTGGAATTTCCTGAGTGATAGGAGCACCTCTTATTCTAATGAGGTAACTCTTGGCAGGATGCTTTATGGGAGGCAAAGCTGTTGTGGAATACTCCTTTATGTAAAGATGTGTTACATGTGTTTATGCTGTGGAATGTTACTTTAACTATGTAAAGGTATGTTACATGTGTTTATGCTGTAGAATACTATAACTATGTAAAGGTGTGTTACATGTGTTTATGCTGTAGAATACTATAACTATGTAAAGGTGTGTTACATGTGTTTATGCTGTGGAATGTTACTCTAACTATGTAAAGGTGTGTTACATGTGTTTAGGCTGCATTTGTTTAATGATGTAAAATGTGTTGTTTTACCTGCCTAAGGCACCAGATTGGTCTAACAAAAAGCTGAATAGCCAATAGCCAGGCAGTAGAGAGACAGGCAGGACTGGTGGGCAGAGGGAATAAACAGAAGGAGAGAAGAAGAGAGCCAAGAGAATGGGGGAAGGGAGAGGGAAGTGCCAGACA